AAAAAAAAAAAAAAGTTTGATAATCTTAGGAGTTGGTAAAGATGCAAGACTAAGGGACATTACTGGTGGAAGAGATGTAAATGTGTCCAATCACTTTGGAAAAACATTAGAACTCTCTTGTAAAGTTGAAAATGTATATACCTAGCAATTCCTAGGGTATACATCCTATGGGAAATTCTAGCAATTTTTATGGCCAACATTGCTTATAATAGGAAAAATAATTTAAAAATCCAAATGTTCATTTCAGAAGCATAGACAAATTGTGGTGATTTAGCCAATGGAATAACAAAAACAAATAAACCATAGTTACATGTAATAGCAGGACTAAATCTTGGAAATGCTGAATGAAGGAAGCTAGTTACAGAACAGTACATAGAATATATAATCTCTGTAAACCTAAATAACAAGAGAATCTAAACGATATTGTTTAGGGAAATAGACACATAATTAAAGTTTATATTTAACAAGGAAAGGAATGCTGAAAACAAAATTCAAGCTAGTGACCATCTCTGGGATGAAGGCGGGAGAATACAAAAGAGACAGAGCCCCTGCAGGTATAATGCTATGTACTGGTTATGTTTTAATTCTTAAGTTGAGTGATGGGTTCACAGGTATTCATTTTAATGTTTACCTGGTAACTTACACGTAAATTATGTATATTTTGTATGCATCAAACATTTCATAATAAGAAATAAATTTAAATATGTAAAAAAAGGTCCTCGTAAATGTTAAACAATAGTGGTAATGTTTGGTATTCTTTTCAAAAAAAACCTGTGACGAAATAATGATACATATTTTTGGCTTATAAAATTTGACTTGACATTTGATCCATTTCTATTGCATTTTTACTATATGAAAGCATGAGAAACACAGCTGTAATGCATTGGTGTCTATGCCCAGAAAGAGGTACTAAAGAATTGGCCGTGTAGATTTACTTGTGAACACTTAAGAACCATTGCTTGGGAGTAGTGGGAGGCAGGGGTCCAGCAGAATTTGCAAAAGATGAGAGGTCTTGTCAGCAAGTAGAGACAAAATTAAGCGCAATTTAAGTTATTACTGCTAATGTGGCCTACATCTTACACACAGGCCTGAGGAAATTCATGTGACATTATAATCAGAATGCTCCTGCTTTGGTTCTGGAAAGTTCTTTTTATAGATATTTACTACTTTTTTCTCCTTCTCAAGACTATCTTGGGGCTGAGTACATGCTCAGGTCTGTAATACCAGCATTTTGGGAGGCCCAGGCAGGAAGATCACTTGAGGCCAGGGCTTTGAGACCAGCC